ACAAACCTGAAAACACACCTCCACCAATGCTTACTTAGCACAGGGATGAATCATCTGTATGATTACCAATCAATGCCTAAAAGATCCCTGGCTCAACTTCAGAAGGAAGCCCCTTCCTGCTATACTTCTCCTTCTTCCGCTTTTGGTTCTCCACCTGCAATGAACAACTTTGACAAAATCCATTCTCTTACTCTGGATCCTGTTTCTGATTCACCTCATCTGACCTCCATTTTGCAGAATTTGATTCATCAGCTTCCATGGCCTGTGAATCAATAGCCTGATCTTTCAAGACTAAGAAGAATCCTCCAGACTGACTCAGACAAACTACGGATTAGACACTTGCCACACTCCACAACACTGTGAGTCATTTCCTTTATAGTTCATGAGCTTTGTGAGACATTAACGTGAATTTTGGGACCCTGTGACATGGGGGAGAATACTGAGGAGACAGAGGTAGTTGGTACCAGAGAGAATGGAGTTGCTAAAGCATTTTTGGATAGTTGGATATTTGGGATATCTTTAACTTCTACCTCATAGAAATTAGCTTGTGCTTTTCCTCTAAAACAAATGATTCTTTCAATTGTAAACCTGAAATAAGTTGAATTGATTCATTGAATATTATTGTTGTTAAATGCTGTTGAGTCAGTTCCGACCCTCAGTGACCTTGTATAGGGTTTCCAAGGAGTGGCTGGTGAGCTTGAACATCTGATCTTGAGGTTCAGACTGACTCTGCAGTTCAGTGCATAAACCCACACCAGGATTCTTGAATATTTTATGGGGGCTTAGAAGCTTGCAAGCTGCCAACCAAAATGCTATTTTCCTGGAGCTACAGAAGAAGGAGCACCAAATCTCCAGAAATTCTGAATTCTGTGAGAATTTGTAATGATATTTTTGTTATTTTCCCTTTTGGTCAGGATTATTAGCAAGTCTAGCTCCCAAATTAAGTTTCTGGAGGCACCTTACCCTGCAAGCAATCTTCCTGCCCAGAGTCAGTCGGCTTTACTTTCTCCATAGCCTGGTAAGTCCACTGCTCTGTCTCATGATCTGGATCGTGGTTCTTCTGTGCTGTTCCAGTCACAGCTTTCTGTCTCTGGGTTGAGAAGGCTCCGTATGTAGGGTTCTCCAGGTACAAAGGATGAACTCCATTCCTGGCTCTTGTTTTATGGTAATGAGCTATCCCTGCTCCTGCTTCTGAGATGGCTCATTTTACGCATGCCAAGAGTTCCAAGCTTTTACTGTCACAATTAATGCTATTAACAACTGAAATGTATAAATCTATCAGCATCTTCTCTTCTTTTCCTCAGAGATATCAGGGCAAACATGCTGTCTGGTGGGAGTTGCAGACCACTCACTGGTTCTTGTAGCCATTGGTCCTTTTATACATGATAGATTGACTTTTTCCATATCATTTTAACTGTAAGCACATCAGTGAAAGCTTGTAAGCTCACCACTTCATGCTTTTATCTGTTCCCCATTTCAGATATCCAATTTCTAAATTGTTCATCCCTATCAATCCTTTGGAGTCCAGGTGTGGTGCTGTAGGATAAGCGCTGGACTGTCAGCCACAAGGTTGGCAGTTCAAAACCACCAGTTACTCCCCAGATATTCTATACAGGATTGTTATAAGTCTAAACCAACTTAAGAGCAGTTAACAACAACCATCAGCTCTTTTATGTGAAGAATCTTCTGCTCTGCTGGAACTTTGAACATATGCATTCATAAGACTAGTCCAGTCTAGAGCAAGCACTAACTTTATCCTAGCGAGTCCTTCCTCTCATCTCTCAACCATTTCTTTATTCTCCCCCTCTTCCACTCATCAAGTGGACCCAGGTGGTCATCAAAGAGCATATGACACTGTCTGCTTGTTGGATTCCTTTAACTTTAAGTGCTAGAAGAAAGTTTTCTCTGATAGGCACAGACTGTCCTGCCACAATGCGTCTAACAGCAAACTTGTTAAGTGTTGTCAAGTAGGTTCTGACTCATAGTGACCCTGTATAGGGTTTTCAAGGAGTGGTTGGTGGGTTTGAACTGTTGACCTTGTGGTGATCCTACAGTGCCACATCAAGACGCCAAACAGCAAACTGCTTGCTCAAAAATGAAAATGCCAATCATTTTTCTTTCAGCAGGTCTTTCTTTCAGATGAAAATCTCTTGTTCTCTCAGTAATTCTGGGTGGGACTCAGGTTTCTATCTAAGTCCCGTTTCTTCTGGGCAATTGCTAACTCCTTTTTAGCATGTCTACTCAAGTATAGACTGAAGCCTGGCTTATAGACACGCTCACAAAGATGCCCACACATGTGCATATGGCCTTGGGCCTCTGACAGGCTTACTCTATTAGGTCCTGATCCCCTATCAGTTGTCTTCTTTGGTCTGGATTTTGTCCAAGATGACTCCAGTAGAAACAATCGGTCTCTTACATACTTTTCAGCTATTATAGTTAACAATAACCAAAATAACCTTCTAAGAATTAAAAAGCTTACTCCCCATTATCCTTCTCCTACAAAAACTCCATGATCCCCTGACTCCGAAGCCATAACAGAGAAATCTCATTTCGGACACCAACTGTAAACTATGGCAGCAACCATTTCCCCCCACAGACCTCGCCACTCAGCTGGATACAATAATTCTTTGTAATGGTCACACAGAACTCAGACACCATGCCTCAAAGTGGTGGGATGTATTAGGGATGTTAACAAGTTACCACTCAGGGACAGAGAGCTGCGACACCAGAAAAATGGCGGAGGAGAAGCAGCAGCAAAACCAAGAGCCAGATCATGAGACAGAGTGCTGGGCTTCCCAGTCACAGAGCAAGTAAAGCTGAGTGACAGTGGGCAAGAAGATGGCTTGCAGATTGGGATGCCTCCGGGCACTTAATTGAGGGATCTAGGTTTGCTGACTCACGGAGCTACAGTCAAGTGCCTTAAGTCTGAATTCTGTGTCCAATGGCACTTATCAGCAACCCTAGAAGAGCCTGTGGGCACTGCTGAGGAGACACTGGCCTGCCCTGAGCACCACTGAGCCTGAGCTGTAACCTATTAACGTCCCTAATAAACCCCACAACCGTGAGCGTGGTGTCCGTGTTCTATGTAACCATGATCATGAATGATCGAGTCTAGCGGAGTGTAGAAAGCTATAGGAGATTGGTTGTGCCTTTTTTTAAAAAACAATATGAATGTCTAATATGAGTACAATAGCTTTGTGGCATGTATTTAAAGTTTGAATGCAAACCATTCATTTAATCTGCACATTAGAATATTTTTTACCTAATCTACAAAATCAGTAAATTTTTACCTTGCTTTTTTTCTATATCTAAATAGACTTCAAATTGTGTCATCTCCTTACTTCATTTTGTCTTCTCACTATAATGTCCAAAAACTTCTGCAGGACATTTTATCAAGCTTTCAGACATGTCCCAGATACAATTATATATAAAGTAAACGCCATGTTAATTGAATTCTTCAGACTTCTGCAACAGATCTATCTATATACTGACCTATACTTTAAAACGTACCTTTGGTTAATAAATCAATCAATTTGACACTTGAGATTACGTGTTGTATGTATTCTTGTACTCGGAATGAAGACGTTGTCTTTAAGGCTTTCTAAATGATTACTGCCATAATTCAGAGATAATTGTGTGATTGGTTCCAGATCACTGAAATAAATATCACAATAAAGTGAGTCACCTGAATAATTTTTTGTTTCCTAGTGTATATCAAAGTTATGTTTATACTATGTTGTTGTTGTTTAGTGCTGTCGAGTCAGTTCCAACCCATAGAGACCCTGTACAGGGTTTCTGAGGAGCAGCTGGTGAGCTTGAACTGCCAACCTTGCAGTTCAAACGGCTTTGCAGTCTGGCGCATTAACCCACAACGCCACACTATTCTGTGGTCTATTAAGTGTCTTAAGTCTGAGAATTATGGTGGACTGCTGTGTCTAGTGGGCTGGACACTTATCAGCAACCCTAGAAAAGCCTATGGGTACTGCTAAGGAGAAGCTAAGTGTGTAGTAGCATTATGAAACATTTTAAATATTGTGAGAATTTCCAAAATGTGACACACAGACACAAAATGAGCACATGGCGTTAGAAAAATGGCATCAACAGATTTTCTCATATTCAGGCTGCCACCAACCATCAATCTGTATAAAACACAAGATCTGCAAAGCACAATAAAAGTTGGTATGACTGCATTTATTAATTATGATATCAATACTAAGTAAGATATTAGAGGATAAAATGATGTGAAAATTATATTCGGCACTCAATAAAACCAATATAAACATATTTAAAACTTTTCAAAATTATCTTTCTATTTAGAGGACAAATCACCTGGCTTTAAGAGGCTTATTAAATCTAAAAAATTAAATCTAAAAACATTCCCAAAGAGTTTTGAATGCTTCCAAATAGTAGCATAGAGGTCACGAGTTGGGTTGCTAACATCAAGGTCTGCAGTTTGAAACTACCAGTGGTTCCAAGGGAGAACGATGGGGCTTTCTGCTCCCATAAATATTTACAGCCTCAGAGACCCTATACAGGGTCACTATGGGTCGGAACTGACTCGATGACACTTAACAACAACAATAACAAATAGTATGCATAATGTTTAGTATAAGCATTGGTGTGGCACTAGGGGTTAATACACTGGACTGCAAAGTTGGTCTGAACTGCAAGGTCAGCAGTTCAAGCTCACCAGCTGCTTCTTGGAGACCCTAAACAGGGTCCCTATGAGTTGGAACCAACTTGATGGCACTTAACAACAACAACATGGGGTAAAGCATTAACAGATTGATGAATGGTTAGGTTCTTTATACATTACCTATTTGATTATATGAGCCCTACTATCAAATTCTACAATGAACACACCCAGAAGGTCAACACCAAAACTACTGCCAACTTTCTCTGGTTGAACACTGTAGTTAAAACAATTCCAGGACTGTCTGCTAGACCCTGGCCGCCTCAGTATTCCCTCACAGTGGCCACGACCGACCGAGGGTACTCACAGCTGGAGAAAATCAGCGGGCAGGAGTGCTCATCCATCGGGAAGTTGTGGAGCTGCAGCTGGCATTCTGCATTGATGGTGAGCCTAGGGAAGAGTCAAGTGTCACTTTCGATGTCAACAATCATCACCTAGCTACGCCTATGTGCCAACAAACGCAACTGTGCTGGTCCCACAATGCAGCAGCATGGAAGGTGGCCCGTGGAACTAATGGATTTGGGGTGGTGAGCATTCTCAACCAGCATTCATTCAGATGCTTTTGTGTTGTACTATTTTGTTTGGCTTTTAACTATCAGCAGAAAAGAGAATTCCTATTAGTAAAATCCCTAGCTGCATCTAGAAACCAAGTAGATGTGAGACACATAAAGCCAACTGTTGTTTTATTGCCAGTTGTTTTCCATTTGTTTGATTGAATTAAACCATTCTTTCATTATGAAACTAGTGTAATTGGCTAATTAAGTGTAATGCCACATCAGTTCACCTGTTGGGAGCGCTCCATATTAGGATGTTTTCACAGGGTGGGTGGTGGTGACTATATTAAGTGTGTGCAATGAGTTCCTCCAGAGTAGAACACCCTGAATTTGGAGAACGTATGAAGCATTCCAAAACATAACTCATCTCCAGCCTGGCTTTTACCAAGGCTCAACTTCATGTCAGAGTTTCATCATCTTTCCTTAAGATTTGAAGGGGAAATTGATGAGGATCGGTTACAAATTTCTCTCTAAATTTAAATTTAATTAATAGAGTTCCCTGTTGTGGATTTTTTTTGTTCCCAACCTACCAAAATTATTTCCCAGAAACCCCAGAATTTTCCAGTTCTCTGCTTATTTTAATGATAGTCTATGTCTGTGTTTCTGCTATAGACATGTATTTAAAATGATGATTTTAAAACTAGCCAATTACACATTTCTCCTAATAATAACAATTCATCGGTAGTTAAAGCTTACGATACCAGTTTATTCCATTACGGGTGATGTTAATTTTGGATGCACCACTTGTCTTTCAGTTTGCCCCACTATGGTGGTTTGTGTGTTGCTGTGACTGTGGAAGCCGTACCACCAGTATTTTGAATACCAGCGCAGGGTCAACCATGGTGGACAAGTTTTGGCAGACTTTCCAGATTAAGACAGACTAGGAAGAAGGAGAGGCAGACCACTTATGAATGGTTAGCCACTGAAAACCTTAAAAAGAACAGAATATTGTTAGACATAGTGTGGGTAGATGAAGGCTTCAGGTTGGAAGGTACTCAATATGAGACTGGGGAAGAGTTGGCTCCTCAAAGTAGAGCTGACCATACTGCCATGAATCAAGCTAAGCTTTTGGGACCTTCATTTGCTGATGTAGCACAACTCAAAATGAGAAGTAACAGCTACCAACATGCACTAATAATCACAATGTAGAATATACAAAGCATGAATCTAGGGAAATTGGAAGTTGTCAAAAATAAAATGGAACACATAAGATCAATATCCTAGGCATTAGTAAGCAGAAATGGAGTTGTATTGGCCATTTTGAATCAGACAGTCTCATGGATTACTTTGTGGGGAACACCAAATTGAAGAGGAATGGCATCATGTTCATCAATAAAAATATTTCAAAATCTATCTTGAAGTACAGTGATAATATCCATATGTCTACAAAGAGGACCAGTTAATACCACTGTTATTTCAACTTACTCACCAACCATTAAAGCCACTGATAATGAATTGAAGAATTCTACCAATTTTTTCAGTTTGAAATTGATCAAACATGAAATCAAGATGCACTGATAAGTTGTTGTTGTCAGGTGCCATCAAGTCGGAACCGACTCATAGCGACCCCATGCACAGCAGAACGAAACAATGTCCGATCCTGGGCCAAC